TCACATAAAACAAGAGTAATTAGTTTCTACTCTGTTGCAAATCGGAAGAGCTAAAATGTTCCAAGAGTGTTTCTAACAGGGCTAGAAAATTGGGTTTCAGGTGTTTGTATAGTCCGAAGGGACAAATAAAGTGGGGCTACAGTATCACAAATTAATAAGGGCTCTGAACTTAAATGCGCAAGAAGATCAGGGGATTCGTACTGTGATTGTTGGGTAGTAGTAGTAGTAGTAGTCGCTTTGTAATTTGTCCACACAAGTCCCTATTCCATGTGTTTTCCTATCATCATGTTTTTCTTAAATTAGGAATGAAATTGATCTTTGTGAACGATATTGACAGTATCACAAATTGAGATCACAGACTATTCATATAGAAATAAGATATGTTTCTCAAATTATGAATGAGAATGGTCCTAATGGACGGTCTTAAAGTCTATATCACAAGTTGATATCATAGGCCCTCCATATAGGATAGATTTTAAAAGATGTGGACCTCAAAGTAGTCCATTCTTTCATAATAGCATCCTTATTATCAACTAACTATTTGGTTTGATCTAAGATTCACCCTAAATTTTATAGGATTTCTAAAAAATAATAACTTCAGCAATAATATTCTATTATTGCTAATGTAAATTACAAAGAATGGTGCGTCAAATTCATAAATATTATGACAAGAAAGTTCATACATCCATGTAATTCACATTATAATTCATTCATTAATTCATTTTGTTTAGTGTTATTGGTATGTTTTTAAAATTATTTATTTAATATTTAATTCAACATAAAATTTTCAAAAATAGTTCTTAATTTAATGATCAAGATTTTTTAAAAAAGGTATCCTTTTCATGAGTTGAAAGCTTATAGATCATAAATGTTTAGCTTATTTTGTGTATAATAGTTGTTGATTTAATTAGAAAAGAATCCAAAACTCAATAATAAGTGCTTAAGACCATGAACTATTTAAAAAATGTCGATTTTAAAAAATTTAGCCTATGAATCACCCATCAAGTCATAGGAATTATATATTAAAATTAATTCAAATCTCCTTTCATATATGATCTTAAATCATTTTTCACCTTTACCTTGAACCACAGAATGAGCTCATGTAAGGTTCCAAGCTCCGACCATGTCGGTCTGCTTATACATGGATTTGGTATCGTGCTGTACCTAAGAGAATGATATTATTTGGTAATTTACATATAATATAAAATAATGTTAAGTTCACCATAATTTACAAATGTAAATTAGTGAGTGACAACTGGCAATTATAATATCAAGTCGAAGATGGTATGTTCTCTCTTAAGTATAGATTAATGATGTTTATATTGTACATAGATCATTAAAGTTAGTTTAGTTAGCATGTTGTTATTTTGTAGTGTTTGTATATAAATAGTGTGAAAAGTAATTGTAAAAGTAACTTTCTTGCGAAGTGAAATTCCTAGAGCATTCTCAATTCTTATTCTACCTTTTTCATGGTATTAAAACCATTTATTTTTCTTAAGATTCTTAAGATTTCTTTTTCTTCATAGTTCATATTCCTTCCAAATGCCCACTACAATTTTTACAAATTTCTCAAGCCTCATGATAGATTCAATATCTTCCACCTTTGACCTTCAATTGTCCACTTCACCCATTGAAGATCCATTGTCACCATTTTATCTCCACCATTCGGACCACCATGGCTCCGTCATCATCACTCCTAAGTTGACATCAAATAACTACTCATCGTGGAATAGATCTTTCTTGTTAGCACTCTCCATTCTACTGCTTCTTTATCTGGTCACCATTATTTTTTAACAATTGTTGATGACTTTAGTAGATTCACATGGAATTTTTTAATGCATGCTAAATCAAATGTGAAACCATCATTCTAGCATTTTACAACCTTATTTACACTCTGTTTAGTAAATTAATTTAACAGATCAGATCTGATAATGGACTTGAGTTCCAACTTAATGGATTTTATTCTACTAAGGGTATTGTGCGTCATTTATCTTGTGTAGATACACTGCAACAAAATGGGGTAGTTGAGAGAAAACATCAACACCTTTTGATTGTTGCTAGAGCACTCCTTTTTCAGTCATCCTTACTACTAAAATTCTAGGAAGACTCATTCCTTGCAGCAGCTCATATCATCAATAGAATACCATCTTCCATTATCAGAAATAAATCTCCATATGAGTTGCTTTACAGCAAATCACTAGTTTATTCACATTTGAGGGTTTTTGGTTATTTATGCTTTGTTTGCACCCTTAAAACAGATAGAACTAAGTTTGAATCCAAATCTAAAATTGCATCTTCATAGGTTACCTTAAAGGAATCAAAGGTATATGATTTGGAAATCCATCAAACATTCATATCCAAAGATGCTATATTTCATGAGTCCATTTTTCTTTTTCAAAAAGGTAAATTATCATTTGAATCTATACATTCTTCTTTTAATGATTCTTGTATTTTACATTGTGATAACTTGTCCTTTGTTGATTTTTCTTATAATCTTAATAATATTACTTCTATTCAAAATTCTTCCACCAATTTTTCTTCTAATATTTTAGCACCTATTTCATCCAATTCAACAACTAATATTGAATTTGAAACCAACCATGACACTATCTCTATTGATCCTATTCCAAAATGTGACTTTAAAATTCCTTTTGTTAAGTAAAATCCCACTCTTAGGAAAAGTTTTAGAGTCATTAAACCACCCAAATACCTTGAAGCTTATGATTGTCAATTACCTTCCCATGCTAACAGTGTCACAACCCATCCTATTTCGCAATTCTTATCATCACAGCAACTCTCACATTCCCATAAAGCTTTTACCACCTTACTAACTAAAATTCTAGAACCAAATCATTATCATCAAGCCATTCAGTAAGATCGATGGATCAATGCAATGCAAATTGAATTAGATGCTTTGGAAGCCAATGCAACATGGACAATTGTACCTTTACCTCATGGTTCACGTAAAATTAGATGTAAATGGGTTTATAAAGTTAAACTCAATGCTGATGGTACAATAAAAAGATATAAAGCTAGGCTCGTGGCATAGGGTTATAATCAAAATGAAGGTCTAGACTATAAAGAGACATTTAGTCCTATTGCTAAACAATCAATAGTTCATGTGCTTTTAGCCTTAGCTGCCATCAAAGGTTGGACTCTTACCTAATTAGATATTGATAATGCATTTCTTAATGGGGATCTTGATGAGGATATTTATATGACTTCGCCACAAGGATATCAGCTTGGAGTTTCTTTCTAATGTTAAGTTAGTTTGCAAGCTACACAAGTCTTGTATGGGCTTAAGCAATCCTCTTGGTAGTGGAATGCAAAATTCACAAGTGTTTTATTGGAGTTTGGCTTTTGTCAGTCTTTAGCTAATTATTCCATATTCATTAAAAAAACAATTGATGATGAGATACTAGTCCTCCTAGTGTATGTTGATGATATCATTATTGCCAGCTCCTCCTCCAATGCTACTGAGCAAATTATAGAGTTTCTAAAGTTCAAATTCAGGCTCAAAGATCTTGGCAAATTAAAGTATTTCCTTGGTTTGGAAGTTGCCCAATCTGAAAGGGGCATATCTATTTGTCAACATAAATATGCTCTTGATTTGTTAACAGAATATGGAGTTCTTGGCTACAAGCCTATCGCTACACCTATTGATTACAATCATAGGTTAAATAACGCTATAGACACTAATCACTTGGTTGATGCAACTAATTACAGGCAGCTTATTAGTAAGCTTCTATATTTGACTTTTTCTCGACCTAACATTTCTTGTGTGGTTCATATATTATCCCAATATATGGATAGACCCACTCAAAGTCATTTACATGCTATTTTTTGAGTTCTCAAGTATATCAAAGCTGCTCTTGGCAAAGGCATCTTATTTTCTTCTCGATCTTTTTACAATTACAAGCATATAGTGACATTGATCGAGAAGGATGTCTTGATACTAAGAGGTCTATCACAGGTTTTTGTATCTTCCTTGGTGGTTCTTTGATAAGTTGGAAATCCAAGAAACAAATGGTTGTTGCTCGAAGCTTTATTAAGGCAAAGTACCGTGCAATGGCAGACACTACTTGTGAAGTAATTTGGTTATTGTGTTTACTAAAGGATTTGGGCATTAATCATATGCATTCTTTACATTGTGATAATTAGTCTGCGCTACATCTTCGTAAGAACCAATTTTTCATGAGCAAACCCAACACGTAGAAATAGATTATCATTTCATAAGAAAGAAAGTTTTATCAGGTGTCATCTCTCCTATATACAGGAGCGAAGCTAACCAATTTTTGTTGAGGAGGCCAAAGACGAAAAAAAATAAAAAACTCAAAATTTTAAAAATTAATTTGTTGAATTTAACCAACGATCAAAATATTCATAATAAATAATAATTTTTTATAACATCTAAATAAAAAAATTATGAAAAAAAATTATAATAGTTATTTAAGAAAATTGTGCTCGTTGATGTTTCCTAGATTCAAATTCATCATTTAATATTCTTATTTATTTATATTTAAACTTAAAAAATAAAACATAAAACTATAAAGAATAAAATATAAATAATTAAATACGAAATACAAGATTTCACATAATAGTTAAATAATATAAATAGAAAGAATAAGGTAAAAGAAAATTTTACCTGTTCTTAATTTTACACAATGATGGTGAGTAATTGCTATTTTTCCTTTTCTAAACTCACGAGCTCATAAATCTCTTTTGAAAAATAAAGTGTGTTTTTATAATGAGTTACTAAAAAATAAAAATAAAAAGATAAAAAAAAGAGGTGTAGAGAAATTTAAATTAAGATAAAAGTAAGTTTGTGAGGTTATTTTATATTTTTATTTATATTAATTTATTTTAAGTGAGTCATTAATAATATATAATAAATAAAAAGTTTTAAAAATTTTGAAAAGACTATTAATAAAATATATATAAAAAGTAAATATTTTTAAGCCCCTCATTGTTGGCTTACACTCCGCCCCTGCCTACATATTTTCATACCAAGTTGCAGTTGGTAGAATTATTTACCAAGGCTCTCCAACCTGGTCCTTTTTCTTCAATTTCTAGCAAGATGAGTATGCATAACATACACACTAATCTTGAGGGGGAGTCTTAAGTATATATTAATCATGTTTATATTGTATATAGATTATTAAAGTTAGTTTGTCTGTATACAGATAAATAGTGTGAAAGGTAATTACAAAAGTGACTGTCTCGAGAAATGAAATTCCCGAGGTATTCCCAATTCTTCTTCCACCTTCTTCACTCTCCAGCCTCGCTAGACCGGTGCCCTAATCCCAACTAGCCTTCTGTTTTTCCGGATCTTATTTTATTTGAAATAATTTGCAAATTTTACACCGCAGTCAAGCGCCTGCCAGGAGTTGGATTTTGCTCTGCGGCTTGTCCCTTTTAGGGATATTGATATTGGCTAGTAAATCTAATTAACGTCCGTTCCCTGTTCTTTTATATAGAGATTTGCTGAAGAAGAAGACAGAGATCAATTGCTGAAATTAATCTTCACTCAGATGGAGAAGGAAACTAAGGTCTGTGTGACAGGTGCAGCAGGCTACCTAGGTTCTTCCCTCGTCAAAAAGCTGCTAGAAAAGGGGTACATCGTCCATGCAACAACAAGGAATTTGGGTTAGTTTTTTTGTCCCTGCTCTCTGCTGTCAAGTCTTTGATATGGTTGAATTCTGTCTTATTTTAAGTTTTTTGTATGATATGTATGTTGTAGGAGATCCGAATAAGATCGGGCTTCTTAAAAGCCTTCCAAATGCAGAAACCAGATTAAGGTTGTATGAAGCTGACATATATAATCCCAGTCAGTTTGAACATGCAATTGAAGGCTGTCGATTCGTTGTTCATATGGCCACTCCCTTACAACATGAACCCCAGAATTCTCAGGTTCCAAAACCATTATACTATTCATGCTTATCTTCATACTTGTCCTTGTTGTGTCCCCTTTTTCTTTCAGAAGGGTATTTACAAGTGAAAAAGGAAAGATATGGTTGTTTTCATACCTTTTCGACCGTTTTTAAAACGGAGAGAACAAAGCAAAGGACGATATAGTTTTCTTTGTAATGTTCAATGCTAATTGCTAGATATAGTAATCAAGTCAGCAGTAAGTGTTAAAAGGCCTGGGCGTTTTTGGAAGTTGAACTTGTATTTTTTACTATTTTTTTAAGCCTTTAGTACTTGGGCCGAAGGGAAAATTATTTTATTATTATTGAAATCTATTATAATATATACCAATCATCACCTCATTTTCCTATTACGAATTCAAGGTCTATGAAATGAAGTCTTATTCAGAGTGTGATAAAGACTTATTGATAAAATTTTTAAATCTATAATCTCTATTTGACGAGTTACGTAAGGAAAGTATTTTAATTTTTTTTATTATGTAAATCTAAGCTCGATTATTAATAAATAAACTATTCGAGACTTAAATTCAAGAGTAGGTATTTAGAACTATCATATCACTGAAATAATCCCACGTTACATGCATGAATTACTATATTTTTCGATAAGTAATTAAAGAGAGGAATATTTCTTTGGAAATTAGCATTATTGATGATAATTTGGGTCCTCCATATCTCCTAACAAAATGAAAGACATACTCTAGTTAATAACAAGAAGTGTTTCTCAAATTAGAAAACAGGGATCGTGCCACCATAGTAGACTAGCATTCCTCAAAATTCGACTTTTGCTTACAATTTGGCACAATTAGAAATTAGTCAAATTTCTTTTACTTAATATTATGTGCATGATGCAGTTCAAAGATACATCTGAGGCTGCAGTTGCTGGAGTGAAGAGCATTGTGGAGTCTTGCATCAGATCAGGATCAGTGACGCGACTCATTTACACAGCTTCGAATGTAGCAGCGTCAGCTTTAAGAGAAGATGGGGAAGGCTTTAAAGATCAGTTAGATGAATCCTGTTGGACTCCCAAAGATGTTGCTCTTCCTTACACCACTGAGTACTTAATGGTAGACGTCGCTTTCAAAATTCATCTCTATCATGACGAGATAAATAGGATGCCTGCAAATATCCCATGGTTTGAAATTTTGGGAATTGGTGTTAACATTGCAGGGTTATGTTAGCTCAAAAACCGCTTCCGAGAAAGAGTTGCTGAGGTATGATAGTGAGATAGAAATTGTGAGCCTCGCTTGTGGGCTTGTGGGAGGGGACACCCTTCACTCTAGCATGCCGGAAAGCACGGGAGTGCTCATTTCACAAGCCACGAAGAACAAAAGGAGGTATAACATTCTAAGGTTTTTGGAGGAATTGTTGGGAAAAGTCCCAATTTTACACATTGAGGATGTTTGTGATGCTCATATTTACTGCATGGAGACGCCCTCTATCAGAGGCAGACTTCTCTGTGCCAGCGCATATTTGAGTTCTGCAGATATTGCGAGTCACTGTCAAAAAATTTATCCAGATATCGAAATACCTGATGAGTAAGTAATTGCTCGTAAAATTCTTTACTGTTTACGTTAAAAGCAGGCTAATCAAGAAATCTGAAACAGTTCGGTGTACAGATTTCGTGCTTTCTCCGCTATGGCTATAACAATCTCGTTCCTGCTTGGTTTCAGGTTTGTGGAGAACTTGGGGAGAGAAATCCATTGGGGCTCTACCAAGCTGAAAGAAATTGGATTTGAGTACAAATGTGATGTCAAAACGATACTAGAAGACAGTATCAACTGTGGGCTGAAGCTGGGTGAATTTTCAATATTCTGAACCGGACCCTTTGTTAATTGCTATCCTTTGATTAGAAGTACATACTGTGAAGACTCCAATTTTCGTTTTCAATGAATAAAGGGGATGTCACTATTATCAGACACTTTAACCAACTCCTTTCCTAATCGTTTGTAGAACTTGGAATTTTGTCAATGCATCTTGCAGGAAAAGAGTGAAAGTGGTCAGACGATGGTCTATGGATTAAATAAATGAGCACTTAAATGACAAAAGTAGATGAAGATTAAGTAAAAATTAATAGCAAAATCACTCTCCTCAAATCTCAATGCAGCAGGACTACCGTGCTGTTACGTTACCCTGCCCTTCCTTTTTTGGCTCCACGTGGGCTTGCGCAAACTTTATTCCTATTGGAGTCAGTTACTACTAAAATATGATCAATTCAGTCCGCATCGGAGAAATCCGTTGGACTAAACGTGGATAAGAAACATTACAAAACGGAGGTGACTGACGAAGTACAACCCACTAAAGAACCATTGCAATTAAAAAAAAGAAAGGGAACATATTCCAATTTCCTCATCAGATCCTCAGTGAATGGAGAAGGAAACCAAGGTCTGTGTGACAGGAGCAGCAAGCTTCCTTGGTTCTTGGCTTGTCAAAAAGCTCCTAGAACAGGGATACACTGTCAATGCGACATTAAGGAATCTGGGTTTGTTGTCTCTCTACCCCTCCATCTGTCAAGTCTTTTACAATGGTTCGTCTGGTCTTGTTTAAATTGTTGTATGATACGTTGCAGGAGATCCGAATAAGGTTGGGCTTCTTAGCAGCCTCCCGAATGCAGGGACCAAATTAAGGTTGTATGAAGCTGACGTGTATAATCCCGGTTCGTTCAAACAAGCAATTGAAGGTTGTGAATACGTGGTCCATATGGCCACGCCCTTGCTCCATCAACCCCTCAGTTCTCAGGTTTGAATTTGCATCAATAGTGGTTTCCTTGCTTCATTTTCATTCCCAAAAACTCTAGGATCTGACAGTGCAGTTGCATATATACATGGATCAAAAAAATTCCATCCAACCAGTTTTACATCAGGACATGAAAATCAGTAGTACTAATTAACACTATCCCAAGTTCTTAACCAACAAAAATGAAAGATGCATTATCAATTAAATTTCATTTTTGATCTGTAAATCAATATTATACAGTTCAAAAACACATCCGAGGCTGCAGTTGCTGGAGTGAAGAGTATTATGGAGTTGTGTATTAGATCTGGAACTGTGAAGCGACTCATTTACACAGCTTCTGTGACGGCTGCATCACCTATAAAGGAAAATGGAAAGGGCTTCAAAGATCGGATGCACGAGTCCTGTTGGACACCACAAGAAATAACACTTCCCTACAGTAACGAGTTGTTGGCGGTAAACGACTTGAACTTTCTTCCTTGCTGATGCAAATTGGACCATCACATGATTAAAACCTTGGAATTTGTATTCAATGCAGGAATATACACGCTCAAAAACACTTTCCGAGAAAGAATTGTTAAGGCATAATGGAGAGCTAGAGGTTGTGAGCCTCGTTTGTGGCTTAGTGGGAGGTAAAACACTTCTCTCTAGCATGCCTGAAAGCATGGCAGTGCTCATTTCACAACCAGCAAAGAACAAAAGGAGGTATCGCACTCTAAGGTTTTTGGAGGAATTGTTGGGAAGAGTCCCAATTTTGCACATTGAAGATGTTTGCAATGCTCACATTTTCTGCCTGGAGAAGCCCTCTATCAAAGGCAGATTTCTCTGTGCCAGCGCGTACTTGAGCTCTGCAGATATTGCGAGCCACGGTCGAAAACTTTATCCACATATCGAGATACCTGAAGAGTAAGTTTTTTTACATGATCCTCTAGTCCTTTAATTAAAAAGACAGGCTTATCAGATACCAAAAATCATTCCATTGATGAAGTTCCCAATCAAAAAGAGGTCTTCTAGCTCAATTTTCCAGTACCATTTTCTCTTCAATCCACGAACCAATCTCTTCAGCTAGACGCGATTTGTTAATAGCTAGAGCAAAAGCGCAAGGAAATTTCATATTAAGAATAAGTCCATCAATCCAAACTCTTCAACAAGCCATCTTGATCTTTGCCACGAGGAAAACAATCCCAATTGACAAAGATAAATTGTCATTTTGAGCCCACACAAAAAGTACCTTCTTTGAATCTTTTCAACCTCGTTTTAGCTAACAGCTGCAGGTAAATGAAATAAAGACACGTAATATACTGTTAGGTTAGAAAGAGTGGATTTGATCAAGATGAGCCTTCTAGCCAATGATAAGTACTAACTTTTCCAGCCATAGCCTTAGGGTTCGCACCAAGAGGTAGGCCAACGTATTTGATTGTTTGCAGGAGATCAAATTGCCCATGACTCAGTCACTTGATAATCAGTCCTAGTCCAACTCCCACCAAACAACGTTTAGAGAACTTTATCTTCAAGCCCGAAACAAGTCGAAAGCAACGGAAAATGATGGTGTCATCAGCATATATACAAAACGTAATTTTTCGACAAAGATTGTGAGTTCAAGGCACTAAAGATCCAAGTCTCAATGCCCAAGTCTTGATTGCTTATGTGGGCTTACATAACTGGGCCCATCAGAATAACCAGTATCAGAAATCACCCCTGTTTTCGTGTGATTGCTTCTCTTTAATGCTGGAATTTTTTCCAACCGAAACACCTCTAGAATTCCTGCTTGACAACCCATCCGTCGTTACATCTGTCTAGTTTTCTAATTCATCCTTTTGAATTTGGAGACTAGCTTTGGGGGTATTGCCATCGTTAATATCAACTTGCTTTTTGTTTGCCACTTCAGCTAGTGTCAGATCCATTGTTGTCTCCCGACGAATTGACTGTAGAATCTGAATGATCGTCGGAAACCGTAGGCGAAGCTTGTTGCCGGTTGTTAAACCTAAGACCCAAAACACAGGTTCACAGATTTTGTGATTTATTATAAGTTAGTCATGCTTTGGTTTCAGGTTTGTGGAGAACTTAGGGAGGGAGATCTTTTGGGGCTCTGCGAAGCTAGAAGAAGTTGGATTTGATTACAGATGTGATGTCAAAATGATACTAGAAGACAGCATCAACTGTGGGCTGAGGCTAGGTGAATGTGGTTTACATTTTCCAGCAACCCGTTAGGAGCTATCCTCTCGGATTTTCGTTTGTAATGACTTTATCTAATGCCAGATACTCTGCTCTCGACGAATGAACCTATGTATTTGCCACAGTGAAGAGATTGCAGCAGAAAAGCTTTTTTTTTTGTTTAACAAGACCAATTACATAATTTTGTTTCTTTTGCATCAGATAAAGATCAACTCGTTCTTTTTGCTATTGATTTGATTGCACAACCAGACCATTTATTGGTAAGGCTACCTGACACATTTATTAACAAACATCACTATCACATGTAAATTGAAGATTAGAAAATTTTACATGGATGGAAGATTTCGACTCTTTTTTTTCTGTTACTTCCTTTCAAGAAACGCTCTCAAGCCTACTGGATTAGAAAGAGCAAATGAATAATGAAAAGCCAATGAAGGGAAAACAAATTATTTCTAAGAATTGAACTGCCTAATCAACTGATGATTTTCCTGGCCAGCTCCATCAGAGACTGATACATTGCTGTTGGTCACAGCTATATGAACACTCCTCAATCTCTTTTTCTGGCTGAGCTTACTCTACTAAACCGGTGCACTACATTTCTATTTTCTCCTCTCTCTTTTTGTTCCTTCTGCTCCTAATAGGGTGGAAGTTTGAAGACTCATTAAGAGAAGAATTCAGCGTTATCGAATGGGAAACTCGGATCGAATTCCAACTTATCCAGTGATGAGATATCCAGGTCTCCAATTGGGGAATTCGTAACTGAAGTCGGTGCAGAGATAATTTCTGTAAGATCAGATTCAGAAGTCTGCATGTTTTGGGCAAAACCAAAGCTGCCCATGTGGCACGGTGACACTGAAAAATAGTTGGATTCAGATGTCGCTGGAGACATAAATGTCGGAGAAAGGTTTCCCATGATTTCATTTTCCATTAGGGAATTTGCGAACATGCTGTTTTCCACTTCTTCTGATTCAACAGGGAAAGGAAATGAAGGAAAAATGTCCTCCCTAGGGTCCAATTCCTCTGTTTTAACCTTAAGCCCTGCTCCAAGACTCATAAACATCTCTTGCGATTGTTTCTGTTTCTCTTCAAGTTGCTGCCTTTTACGAGAATGATTGCCTTGCTCTTTGGACATTTCTCTTGTTACTGGTGCAGACGTGACAGCAAAGTGAGAAACTTGGTTACAAGTATGTCTTCCTCTATATTTCACCTCAAAGATTGTATGGTCCTCATCTGATCTTTGAACTTGTTTAGTGGCTAAACAACCTTGTGAGTGACGATGGGTGCATCTATAATATCCCCTGAAATTGAGCATGCAAATTAAATGTTAGAAGCCATATCAACACAATTGGAAAATTATTCGTCTACTAGACTAAATTCCAAGAAAATAAAAGCAGGGCGGTATGTCTTTATCGATACTTTGCAGACATGTTTCAGTATCAAAACCTCAACTGGACTGGAGAATAATTGAACTTGGAAACTGTTTTGTGGTCCTTATGACAACTCCAATCAAAATTGACCACGATCCTTATATTATTTTTACTATTATCTTTGCACTTTTTGCTACCACAGTTTCAGAAACATGTCAAAAGATTTGAAATAATCCTCGTTCCATAAGGTTAATGGGGGGGAGTTTTTGACTGTTGCCACTCGTTTAATTGGTAGTTTCATATAGTTTAAAGGATATTGTGCAGCACTACCTTAACATTGATTAAGACCTCCATTTCCATGCCTAGAAACAGTCAAACTGGCTGACCTTTCAAAATCATCTCACATACATTTTGAGCAACTTCTTCCCTCCTTCATTTCTGCTTTCATAACTTGTGTAATTAAGTAATCAGTGAAATGTACAACAACAAAATGTTATGTTAAGAATTTATATCTAGAGACCAGATGATATAACATTTCGTTTGTCACCTTTAAAACTTAGTACACATCATAAAGGATGTGTCTTTTTTGTTTATGTGGCATCAAAGTAGTTACTTAAGTAGTATTCAATGCTTGGAACAATAACAAACGACAATAGGCAGAGCCTCAAGGTGAAATTGTCAGAAGCCCGGGATGGGGGGAAAAATCTAACTGGTTAGGACAAGGACCATTCCGGCTGCCAATAAGTTTTAAGAGATGATTATACGACCCCACATACATGTGGTGTCATGACTAAAAGGTGTACGTTGGATAAGCTTGCCGATGAGATTCTTGTCATGTTGAGCAAACCTCTTTGAAAAAAGAGAAAAAGAGAACTATTCTATATAGCAAGGTTTAATTGCGTGGTATATACGAAATTCTATACTGTATTAGTAAGAACGTTTCTCACCTTGGAAAATTGGATCCAAGAATATCTTTCTGCCCATATTTTCGCCAGCAATATCCATCATCGAGAGGCCCCTCTAATGACGTCCCAGAGCAAACCCTTAACTCCTCGGTCCATCCGGACGATGTTTTTCTGTAACAGTTAATACATGATACATAAAAACCCATACTACAAAGTAATCTAAAGTTGAACTTAAATCGAAGTATACTTCTACTATTTAGAGAAAGCTGTGAGAAAGAATAAGAAAATGGTATTTTTACCTCTTTTTGGACACATCCTTTTTATCAGAGCCCCCGCTTCCTAGGCTGCTGTTGGCAATGGAAGCAGGAGATTCCAACGTGCTACCCGTGGGCTTAGTTTCAACCACAAAACCACCCCAATTCAGCATTGAAAGAGCTTTCTCATAGGAACAGAGTATTTTCTCAAGTAAGACCTGGCGTGTTTCGGGAGATGAAGAAGGATGGAGATGCTGCCTAAGCAGATTGGTCAGCTGTTTCCCTTGTGTTAGCTCATTCAAAAGAGTCTTTTGCTCCCAATCCATCGTTCTTTCCATTCAAAATGAAAAATGTTCCCAAATACCTGTGGTGAACTATACGCTCTCAGCGGTGATAAGCTTTGCTTGGTTGTGGGGTTAATTTATAAACTTTAAGAACATGGACCAGTACTAGATCATGTCAGGATAAAGCTATAGCTTGATAAGAATCAAAAGTGTACAAAAGTGCAGAGCCAAAAGCAAACAACATAGAAGAAGTTAAGATCCAGATGGCACTCAGAAATCAAAACCCAAATACAAGGGAGAATAAGCAGAAACAGCAAATCTAGAATGTGGGAAATGATGGTGGGTAATTTGACAGAGAAAGACAGCGAGGTATAAATTAAGTAGAAAAGGTATCGATGGCAAAGCTATGCATGCAAAGGGGAAGAAAAGAGGCTTTGGTACAAAGCCGACCCGGAAGGGAGGAGGATATTGGAAAGAAATGAGGTGGAAAAGGGAGGCAACTATGACTGGGAAGAGAAAGTTGGTACAGTCACAAAATGGAGTGGTACGTGTTAATATAATAAAAGAGCGAGAGAAGGGTGAGTTGCTGACCAATTCAAACCCACCCAGCAAGAAGAAAATTGACGATCGTGAAGAGGAGAGAAGTTCTAGAGAGGAAGAGTGGAAAGTCAGAGATGAGCATTGAACGAATAAAGAGAGTGATAGAGCGGATAGAACAAAGGAAAAAGGGAAGAATCTTCAATTCTTCTTCCGCGTTGTTGCCTTTGCTCCTCCCATATTTCAGTATTACTAAAATGGGCTGGGACAGTGACGTAACTCGGAGGCGTCAGTCCAACCCTTTGCTTACGATGGATGTTGATTGATCACCCATGTGAGGCACAAAAACATGTAAACTGTGCATTTCAGATTTCGTTAACTTACCCCCCACCCCCACCACCCCCCTCTCCCTCCTTGACAACTTACAACGATGAAAGCCTAACGCTCATTCACAATAAGCTTTACCTCTCTCTCTCTCTCTCTGCATAAAACAAGAAAAGGGTTCTCTCAAATACTCGGGTTATAGTTAGGCATGAGTCCAATTTTCTCATGCTATGTTTCAAACATGAACTTGAGAGACTGGATTTGTACTTTTGGATTGCTATATAAATTGCAAAATAAATTACTACATTATGTAAAAATTAACTAAGATTTAATATATTTATGTATTTAAAATAGTATAAAAAGATGAATTTCGAATTCACAAATTTTATAAATATTTCAAATTCATCACTAAATAAATTATTTTTTTTTTAAGAAAAGCATTCATAGTAATTTCATTCATAACAATTAGAGTATACAAGTCCTTTTACAACCATAGAGCAGGTAACACAACCCAAAAAAATAAATATTGGTTGGTATCTCTTTTGTGGCTTTTGGCGTACCTTCGATTTTTCCTCACAGAGATCTAACAAATTCATAAATTTAAAAATAATTATGAAAATTATGTTCATATGTACTTTATCACATAATTTATATTTATATTTAAAATTCAAAATTACATTCAAATTATTAAATGTAACCTTAATGATTATTAAAACTTAAACAAATGAATTTGCTTCATCTTGTTTCTCTAAAATTTATATATGTTTTTTTTTTTTTAATTCTCTCTCAGAGTGCTTGAGCAAACACGTCGTTGTTGCACTATGTAATATATGCCACTTTATTATTGCAACAATTAGATAATGTTAATAATTAACTTGATGGCACTGATCTATCTATCCTTGACACAAATAGGAAAAAGTTGTCCCGGTAATAGATGTAAATGACGTTGAAGTCTTGAATCCAAATCCACGGCATAAAGATATGGCTGGGACTTTAAGATTCTAGTATTATTATGTATTCAAACCTATTTTCAATTAAAATATAGCGAATAGATATTTATCTATTGTACATACCAACAAGTAAATTATAAGTTATGTTGTGTTTATGTCACGATGAGCTTATCAGACAAAGTAAACGAAGAAAACAGAGGAATGGCACTCAGACAAAATCAAAAGATATAAGAACATTTTCAAATTTTGTTGAAAGGTAAAAGGAGAGGTAGGCCTTAACTAGAGACTATGAAAGAGATCTGGGCATGGAATTTGTTCACATATATCACAGGATATTCATTCTTTTTGCATTCAAGTGTTAGGTGATAGAAATTTAACACCACCCTTGAATCTTGC